ACTGGCTCAGGTCCTAGTGGGGATTATTCATTGTAGAACCTCTGGACCCCGTTTCTATCCTTGGTTACACCTGGTCCAAGCCCACTGAAGGGGAACAAGGGAGCAAAGGGACGGACGAGGAAAGAGAGAGCATAAGGGACTTTGCTAAATTTTGTCCTCCCTTCTTGCTGAAGGAATCTGCTGCATATCACATGGAGAAAAAGTCACTCTCTCCAGCAATGGCTTTAGAATATTCATGCAGTAAAGCTGCCACAATGGCTTCCTTAAACACAGGGTTTCCTTCTGGTTCTTTCCCCTAGAATGGGGAGAAAAATCAGGTGGTGCCTTCCCTCTGTTAGGCAATCAGACCATGAGTTGCTATGATTACTTCACGAGCCCTTCTCTTAATTGAGTCTTAAACTCAGCCCTGCAATCCCCAATCTTTTGGCAGCTAAGAGCTGAATACAATAAAATGTAATTGCTGGTTGGTAATCCATTATTACACGAGGTGGCTGGAGCAGCACTCCCTGTTTACAGCAACAAAATTCCTGAACAGGGTTAATACGTATGCTGGCTAATGAGCTTTTCGTGGAAAACTGGTCCTAGCTACACCCTTTGGTCCTAGCTACACCCTTTTTATATGAGACAGAGAACACCTATTCCAACATGCCTTTAACTGCTAAATGGGATCACTGCAAGGTAGTCAGGTACACTGGAGTCTCTTCCTCCTGCTGTTTATGCTGCAACAGATTAGTTTCAATTAACTGAGGTGTTAAATGTCAACTTTGTTATTTACATATTTATATTTGGAATCTCTGAGACCTGTTGCAATAGCCAGTAAAGAGACTTGGAATGAACATTTCTCTTTTTATTGTGTTTGACCGTGTCTACTTGGCAAACATTCTTTTTCTCTTTCTTATGGCATGGAAGCCTATTTTAATCCCCTGTTGAATACCTTGAACCTCAATCCCGTCTCATGTATACCAGTGTAAATCAGAAGCGGCTCCACAGAAGATGGTGGAGCTTCACGGATATGAAACTAGGGTGAGTGAGAGGCGAGTCAGTCCTCTGAGTATGCACCACAGTCAACAATGACTGTGGGAACAGGAGAGCCAGCAGGGTGAACTCATGCATTGCTGGGTTGCTAGTGTAATCTATGGGAGAAAGAAGTGGCTAAGTGGAGAATTAATATTTGGTATTGAGAAAATTTTTTGGCTTGACAGCCCTGAAGCTCTTTATCCATAAATGAGGTATAACATAAGTATTGGCATGTTGCTCACACTAAATCTGGAGGGAACACCTCTGGAGGCAAGAAGATAATTTCATCTTTTATTCCATTTAGTCCTTGACCAGAGACTAACAGCGATGATATTGACACCAGATTGCTAGGAATAGGAATGAGCTCACCAAGTAACTTCTGAAACAGCCTTTGCTCGGGTGGTGACAGCTTTCAGTCACTACCAGCCTAGTTGTGCTCTCCAGGAAAAATGCTTCATGCACCATAGCCTCAGAGCCAGAGAGTGCCTCAGTTTTGGTTTTGAAATATTGTACAGTCAGTGAGCCAAATTAATCCCTGATATAACTTCACTGATGTCAATGGGAGGTTCACCAGGGATGAATATGACCTGCTGTATTTAGACTCCAGCTGGATTCCTAAAGTGAGTCTAAGTAAGGGAGCCCAAATTGTAGGTGCCAGCTGTTTGATCACTTCCTCATAAGCCACACAGCATTCTGAGTCATGACTCAAAAATGAGAGGAGTTTGCTTTGGAAGCAGGAGAAGAGAACGGCTTCCATCGTTCCCTGTAGTTCCCCCACAGGGACTAGGGAAGATAAAGATGCAAGATGTACTTCGCAAGAACATAAAGAGACAGCATGTAGGCTAGAGAGCAGGTTTCAGCGCCCCAATTCCATCTGCCTGTAATTCCAAAACCAGAGTGTATATTGCTTTGTTATTTAATGTTACATTTCACATACCTGCCCAGCCCTCAGATGAGGGGCTATTTCTCCATTCTCTGAAATGACAGGTGGAATTTGTCTCAACCCACCAGTTAAGAGACATTTGGATTTTAGAAACAAGAAACTTGATATGTGCCTGAACCATCCCTCGCCCCCCATATCCCAGCATTCATCAAAGTCTGGGTGCTGGTGAGGGTGGAAACCAAATCCTCTTTCCATAATGGGCCAGATTCAACCCTATGATCAGAACACCTCAAAAGTATAAGGACAGTAGGGGCTGAAAGTTGCAATTCAAAGTCTGTCTGTTAGCGAACCAAAGATAAACACGTGAAGAGAAATATCCCAAAGACAGGAACAAAATTTATGGTGTAGGTAAGAAAGAGAGAATGTGGGGTGGGGTAAGGAGTGTGTGACCTACAGGTTTAAGATGGTCAGAGCCAAGCTGAAGTATCTCTTGGATCCCCTCCAAGAATACCCCTGATACAATGTCTTTACTGAAACACGGAGTGGTTAGCTGGTGCCTTTGACAAGCAGGAGGCTGGGAGCTCCAGGAATCAGATGATGAGTGACCTGGCAGAAGCTGTGTGCAGCTTTCCTCTTCCCTCCCTTTCTCTGTCAGGCTGCAGAAAGGAAACAAAATGAGCTTCAAGATCTCTCTCCTCTCAGTCAGCTCTTTCTGCTACCGCCCATTCCTCCCTGGAGTCATTTTCACTGGCAACTCGGCTTATTCCAGGAACCCAGACATGCAGCAGGCCGAGTCACTCCTCTGCCAGCAGCCCAATCAGATGGCAGGGAGTGGAGATTTTTGAGAGGAAGCTAATTAAACATGTTTTATTAAAAAATCCTCTTGTTTTATGAGTGATTTAGGTGACGCATGAGAAACAAACACAATACAGGGAGTTGCCTGGGCATGAGGGTAGTGCAGGCGTTGTTCTGATGAACAACGGTGCTCTCTCTTTCAGAAAGGGATTAGGGACATATTCTTGGCCTGCATTCTACAGCTCATCTGTTGGATCTCAGTTGAAGACCTGGGAAAATGGTGGTGGAGTTTTACTTGTAGGCTTCATTGTGGACTTTCGGGGTGGGAATAATTCTTGAGTTCACACTGGGAGAGGGGTTGCTGTTGCACGTACACCTCAGTGGTGAGCACATCTCAGCCCCCACTCTCCCTGGGCTTAGAGGCACAGCACAGAATCGCACTCCTAATGTTTTGTCAGACACAAAAAGCAGCCATATACATTCAGTCTCAATGACTTCTTATTTGACATTAAGGTAAAACCAACAAAGGAAAATCTCTCTGAGAGAGCAAAGTGTGCATCTCTCCAGGGGTGGCTCTAGCTTTTTTGCCGCCCCAAGCACAGCAGGCAGGCTGCCTTCGGCGGCATGCCTGAGGGAGGTCCCCGGTCCTGCAGATTCAGTGGCATGCCTGCAGGAGGTCCACTGCTGTTAACGCAGATTCGGCGGCATGCCTGCGGGAGGTCCGCCGGTCCCGAGGCTTCGGTGTACCTGCCGCCGAATTGCCGCCGAAACCGCGGGACCGGCGGACCTCCTGCAGGCAAGCCGCTGAAGCCTGCCTGACTGCCACCCTCGCAGGGACTGGCAGGGTGCCCGCCGCGGCTTGCTGCCCCAGGCACGTGCTTGGGAGCACTGGTGCCTGGAGCCGCCACTGCATCTCTCCCCTCTGTAGCATGATGCATCTGGACTCAAAACAAAATAGCAGATGCCTGCTGGAGATACCTAGAAATATAAAGATGGAGTAGATAGGGCATATGGTCATAGCTATGATACACACCACATAGCTCATTCTAGTAGGGGGAGGTAGCTCCAGTGTCCTGGTCAAATTCCCCTGTACTTAATGTTCTGTCCTTCTATGGAGCCTTTCAGCTGAGGATCTCAAAAGGCTTCACAAAATATGGACCAAATTCATCCTTAATGTAACTCCTCCATAGTTTGAATGACCCAGCCAACCAGTTCAGGGGGTGGCACCTCTCTAGCACTGTTTTGTCTCAGTGACTCACCTTAATCACGCCCCACTGTTTTTAGCTCCTGTAGGTGCTATGGTAACCCCCTCTCCATGGAACAGAATGCAATTACATATTCATAGATTCCAAGGACAGAAGGGACCATTGTGACCTCCCGTATCACACAGATCATAGAATATCTCCAAGAACTGATCCCTGAGGGACCACACTGGCAACATACCCACTCAATGATGATTCCTCATTTACAATTACACACTAAGACCGATCAGCCAGTTTTGAATCCATTAAAACCATTTTGAACCATTCATAACCGCAATATAGTTGGTCCCTAAAGACACTGCATGGGATTGCAACATCTGTCACATCGGCCCATAAAGAAGTGGGTGTAACTAGGGGGCTTGACTGCCAACCAAGGGGAACCCAGTGGTTTATTCCCTGGGTTGTGCGACAGCCAGCACCTTTTATAATTTTCAGTAACTACCAAGCAAGCAAATTGCAAAAGAATTTAAAATGTGCATGCAGGGGATGAGCCACTTCCTTATTTTGTGCTAATTTAAGATCAGATGGAAGCTTCATATGGCAGAACGGAGGGGGAAGCTCATGTTCCTTGCTCCTGGCATAGGTCACAACAAAGACAGGGGGCTTTTCAGTGTTGTGCTGCCACCAATATTCACTTCTTTCTAGCTGCCAAAATTCCTCCCTGTGCCACCACTATGTTCACATTGTCAAGGGGTCCTGTCACCAGTGTGCAAGTGCCATTACACACATTGGGTGAAATTCTGTGTTGCGTCTCCTGCTATGCTCTAAGCAGAACGCAGAGCATAGCAGGAAGTAGGTCAAAGGCAGTGTCACTCCACATTTGATCCCTGTGCCCCACAAATTCCAGGCTGCTCCAGGGACTGAGAGGGTCCATGGAATACTTTAGTCAGCTCAAGGGGCTCCTCTGAGTTATGTAGCCCAACCCAGGTTGCCTACAGAATGTTACAGTGCCCATCCCCTATTCAATGCAATGCCAGTGAAAGAGGAATGCTCCCCTGGCTGCCCAAGGTGCTTTTATAACAGGGTAGAGGGGTGAATCCTTGCCATTTCGAACATCTGTTCCTTGTAGGAAAGGACGCAAGCTCTCCTCTGCTTTCTCTGAGATTAAGCCATTTACTTTGGAGATGTTCACTCTGTAATCCCAGGAATCACTGCACAGCTCGTTGTAAGAACCTGCAGAAAGAGCAGAGTTTTGCTAAGTGCTCTGCACATCATCTCCTCCCAAAGCAGGCTACATATATCCTTCATACTGTATCCTTCCTATGAGGGACTCATGCATTTGGTGATATACGGTAAACATAAGAACAATCCCAGCTTTCCCTCTCCTGAGTGCGAGCCATATGCCAGGTTCAGGTATCCATCCTGGCCTTCATCCCTGAGGGGGCCAAATCACCATCCTTTCAGTTAAGAGCCAACCGTGTAGAACAATTTCACCAATGTCATGCCCAAGATTTAGCACACTCGATTCATACAGAATTAAAGGAAGGTAATATAATTAATACCAATCAATATGGGTTTATGGAAAATAGATCCTGTCAAACTAATTTGATATCTTTTTTTGATGAGATTACAAGTTTGGCTGATAAAGGTTATAGTGTTGACATAATATACTTAGACTTGGTACCACATGCCATTTTGATTAAGAACCATGAAGATATAAAATAAACATGGCAGACATTATATGGATTAAAAGCTGGCTAACTGATGGCTCTCAAAATATAATTGCAAATGGCGAATCAGCATAGAATGAGTGTGTTTCTAATGGGGTCCCACAGGGATCAGTTCTTGGCCCTAGGCTATTTAACATTTTTATTAATGACCCGGAAGAAAACATAAAATCAACACTGATAAAGGTTGCAGATGACACAAAAATTGGGGAAATGGTAAATAGGAAGTTCACTGATTCAGAGCTATCTCAATTTCTTGGTAAACTTGGCACAAGCAAACAATTTTAATACGGCTAAATGTACATGTATACATCTAGAAACAAAGAATGTAGGTTACTTGCAAGATAGGGAACTCTGTCCTGGGAAGCAGTGACTCTGAAAAAGATTGGGGGTTGTGGTGGATCATCAGCTAAACACAAGCTCACAGTGCTATGCTGCAGCCAAAAGGGTTAATGCGATCTGTGGATATATAAACAGGGGAATCTTGAGTGAGCAGCAGAACTGGACATAGTTCACTGGAGAGTAAACTGGAGAGGTTTCAGAGAAGAGCCATGAGACTGATTAAAGGATTAGAAAACATGCCTTATAGTGACACACTCTAAGAGCTCAATTTGGGTTAACAAAAATAAGGTTAAGGGGTGACTTGATTACAGGCTATATGTACCTACATGGGAAACAAGGATTTCATAATGGGCTCTTCAATCTAGCAGAGAAAGGTGTAACATGATTCAATGGCTGGAAGTTGAAGCTAGCAAAATTCAGACTGGAAATAAGGTGTAAATTTTTAACAGCGAGGGTAATTAGCACTGGAAGAATTTATCAAGAGTTGTGGTGGATTTTCCATCACTTATAACTTTTAAATCAAGATTGAATGATTTCCTAAAAGATCTGCTCTAGGAATTATTTTGGGGGAGTTCTATGGCCTGTGTTATACAGGAGGTCAGACTAGATGATCACACTGGTTCCTTCCAGCCTTGGAATATATGAATTCATCACACTGACTGTCACTTCATAGCTTCTATCTGTTTTTAGTTTGCCATAAAGGCAAAAAGTTTTCCTTTAAAAAAATCACTATTGGAGACTTTCTTGCATGTAAATAATATCTGAAGCCTTGATGGGCTCTTCACCAACATGAGCATTAGCTGCTAATAACTTTGCATTCTACTGAGCAGATTTGTAAAATGTGCCACCTGCAGCTACTTACACTAGCAAAAGGAACTGAAACACAAAGAAACCTGGGTTTGGTTTGCTTTTAAACTCAGTATGAAATTGTTTGACTGGCCTGATCTCCATCCTGTTCTTTTCTCAAAAGGAAAGAAACAAGCAGCAAAGGCAAATTATTTTAAACACACACCCCACACACACAGGAGAAAAAAAGAGAAGAACAAAGAAAAGAGGGTGAGGGAAATGCAGAGAAAAAACTGGGGTAAGAAATGAAAATAAAGACGCTTGAAGCCAGGAGGATATGAAAGGAGATAGAGGAGAGGTTACAGATCTACAAATTAACAATGAAGGGGTAACTTTATGGGAGATATTCTTTCTGCTGCTTTGGCCCATGTACACCATTCCAGCCGCATACATGCACTGTGAGGGGCCTAGAAACAATTTCCCTAGCACGAGCATCCCTACTTGCCTGTCTCACAAACAGGAGTATCGGGGGTTTACTGGGAGGGAGGGGCCATGCCAGGGATGGAATGAAGATTCTAGTCTAACACAGTCCACCAACAGCTTTTGTGATATAGGTGAAAGCAGCCCCTTATACTGGGCATTGCACCAACTCAGCAGCAGCACAGACTCAGGAGAGGTGTGCCACAAAGGAGGTGCACCACAGCATCGTTATCAATCAAGCTCACATCACTGTGGTATCTGAGCACATTAGGGAGAAAATAATGAAGGGGAAAGAGTGAAGACCCAGAATGCACGAGCTGCTTCTCCTGACAGCAGCTCAGCATGGCTCCTGCTGGCTTGGCCAATGGGAGGGTGCCCTTTGGTTCACCTAGTAGAACTGCTGCCTAGGATGCCACAAGGAGCCTGGGTTCTCATTTAGCTGCAGTGAAATGCAATCCCAAGGCCAGAAGGGACCACTCTGATCATCCAGTCTGACCTTCTGTATAGCACAGGACTTCCCCATAATAATTCATTTCAAACTAGAGCAGATCTTTTTTTAAAAAAAATCCAATTTTAATTTAAAAATTGCAAGCGATGGAGAATCCACCACGATCCTGGTTAAGTTGTTCCAATGATTAATTACCTTCACTGTTACAAATGTATACCTTATTTCCAGCCTGAGTTTGTCTAGTGTCAGTTGCCATCTCATAGCAAACCCATCCCATTATGTACAGACACACAATGAAATGCAAGAAGGGGGTTAAGGTCTCGGTTTGGATGTGAAGTCTCCAAAATCTATCATCTGACCCACAAAGGGTGACTGGGGGCAAATGTAAACTAAGGAACAAGTGCTGAGTGGAAACAGCCAGGTTAAATGAATAGATTTTTTGATATTAAGGCTGGAAGGGACTATTCTGAGCATCTAGTTTGACCTCTTGCATAACATAGGCCAGAGAATTTCAAACCGTAATTCCTGCCTCAAGCTCAATAACCTATGGCAGAGCTAAAGTATCTCTTTCAGAATCTGTTAAGAGGGGCTGCCGACCCTTTGGGAGTTAAAACTTGTAAGAGAAGAAAAATAGGTACTAATGTGTACACTTGTAACAGGGCTGCATGTAACCTATGACAGTGCTTTTGAGCTGAATGCCCACTTGTCAAACTTTTCCCCCCTAATGCCGCTGCTGATTTTAAGTCAAACATGGTGCCTACGTGGTGCTGCACAGAAGGGAGATGGACTATTAAAATAACTCAGGATGGTGAGAACACTCCTCCCCAAGACTGAGGAGCAGATGTGCGTATGGCTGCCGACAGTGTGGAAAACAGGGTTACTTTGTACATGCCATGCTGAGTCTGTTTCCTTAATTGCTTTGCACGGTTACTGGAGAAATCTCCCCATCATTTCCTGTTTGGAGAGAGCAAGTGACAAATCCCTGACTGGGCTGAGAATGGGTGAACAATTAACAGAGGCAACATAGTGCCAGGTGGCACCTGCTGTCTTGAGTTACAGCTTACACAACAGCACCATTTTCTGTTGGTGGCTTTCTGGGTCCTTTTATTCATGGCCCTGTGGTTGTGTGAGGTTGGTTATGGGTGTCTCCCAGGTCTGACACAGACACTGACCTTTCACAAAGAGGTTGTGGCTGATGACTGAAAACTCTGACCTTTTTACCGTACCTCCCTTTTAAAAATTCCTGTGGTCACTACAGCTATCTTCTTCTGTCTGTGGCGCGAACTCTCTTGCTCGCTTTCTCATGCCAGTTGCCCTGACGTTAAATAAAGTACAAAAGCCAAACAACCTACTGAATTACAGGAGAAAAATATTAACCCCTTCTATCTCTGCTGCCTCCAAACTCTTGCTCCTAAGTCTTTGGGAGTTTAAGGTCACTGAAATAGTTATTTTGCTTTCCTTCGAATGGCAGAGAGAATTCCAGGAAGTTTCCACCAGGACCCACAACTGCAATTCCTAGAACTGGAATTCACAGCTGCTGACTCGACTTGTACTTTTCCTAGAACAGCTGGGCCTCTCGTCGCCTCATTCTAAAGGAGGGAAGAAAAAAAAAAGATTTTAGAAGTCAGGGGCTCGGGGGCTGGAAGTGGAGACAGAGAAGAATGACAGAAAACAGGCAGCATTTCCCTTACCCCTTCACCACGCCATGTTCCAAGGATACCAGAACCTCTCTCTCCCTTTTTATTCAAATCCCAGCAGGATTATTTTCATTTTATTTTTAAATATCAGAGAGTGCATGAACCTGAGCAGTGAGCCCAGCTATGGCCTGTCTGGGCCATCCGCTCATGCAGGCTGCCCCCCATTCCCACTCTTCCCATGCTGGAAGGAATTCCTCCAGTTGGCTTTGCTCCCCACTGCTGGCATGTCTTGGAGATTGCTTTCAGTAATCACGTCTCTCAAATTTAAGAATGACTAAGGGACAGGAGGCAGCAATATCTGGGTGTTGATGGCCTCTCAAACTGGATTTTATTCTCAGTGTTCGAAGGACATTATGCAAAGTGATGTCTTGGGTATGAATAGTTTTGGGTGAAACAGACCCCAATGAAGCAGGGTTTAAACTGTGTGTTCGGGCCTGTGTGGAAGATCTGCGCTGGGATGGATTTCCCGCAAGGGATGATATGCTTTATCAGCTTTCACTTGCTGGCATGTTTCATGGCTAATGCCTGTGATGTTGTTAAAGGAAACCTGTGATTAACACATTGAAAATCAACTGTTTTATAGAACAAACTTCCTGGCTTTTTAAAGTAACCACTTGCCCATATTTTGTGTCTATATTGTGACAGATATGGCAATCTCCTGCAATATCCTCAGAAGACCTTATTGTATTAAGTTTATGTATTAAGGTGGGCCAGGATTGTATGTAACTTCCCTGGGGGGAGACGTGACAGATCTGGGAAGTGTAAAGGAGTTCAAAAAACTATTCTGAAAATGTGCCAGACAGGTGTGGGCTTCTGGGATAGTAAGTGTTAAGTGGATTTCCTGGGGAAGCCCCAGGGAGAGGTTAATGCAAATTCCCCAATTCCGGTGATGAAAAAACCTAGCCTTTTGAAGCTATACCATCAGGAGAGGGTCATTGTCTTCTGATTTACCTGTCACAAGAGGCCAAAATCAAAGGCCCAAGCAGTATAAAGTAATGGCTGATCTGCCCAGCCTTTGCTCTGGTTGTTGATCTAAAACAGCTGAATTTGTAACCATGGGGAAAACCCAGCTGGGGGTTCTGAGGGACTAAAACTTACCAGAGCCCTAGATTGGAGATGGAAGTGACCTCTGGTAAGCCTTCTAGCATGTGTGCAGGATCTTTTATTGTTTTAATGTTTTCTCTTTAATGCTTTTACCTTAAGAATATTAGAAGGAGCAGTGTGGTAACATATAACTACAGGTCATACACTAGTCATAGCCCTTGGAGAGAAGGCAAAGTGCAGGCGCTAGCCATTTTAGGCAGTCTGGCTTGCTGGGGATATCACAGTATAAGGCAGGGAGCTGTGCAGACTTAAAATCCCCAATCAAGAGGGAGGGAGACGTGGATTTATTCCGCCCAAGAGAGATGAGAGCTGGGAGTCAGAGGAGTAAACTGGGTGCCCTTGGGGACCATGGACGGGGAAAATAAGTGCAGTTGCCCTGAGACTGTGACATACATGTGTGTGAATCAGAAACCAACCCAATAGAATGCTGGGAAATAAACTGGACTGTGGGCCAAATTCTCTTCTCCACTACACTGGTACAACTGCATGAAAATGAGGGAGGGAGCATGTGAGAGCAAAGAGAAGAATTTGTCCCCAGATGTGACTGGCTAATGTTGTAGACATTTATTCCCTAGAAATGCACTTTACAGCCAAATGTATAATGAGATATACATCCAACTTCAATGAGTAGGGCTAAGAGGAGGCAGCTCCCATTTGAATATATTGGAAAGCATTTATATATATCTATATCTATATAGATATATATATTGTGACAAAGTTCCTCCTCTATCTTGGAGGGTCCTGAGCTTTTTGGCGGATTTTCTTGCCTCAGAGATTCACCATGTGGGTTGGGGAACAGCCCAGAGACCTTCCCCTCTGGTAGAACCCACAGTCCAGGTCAACTGGGAGGTTTGGGGGGAACCCGGTCCCGCCCTCTACTCCAGGTTCCAGCCCAGGGCCCTGTGGACTGCAGCTGTCTAGAGTGCCTCCTGGAACAGCTGTACGACAGCTACAACTCCCTGGGCTACTTCCCCATGGCCTCCTCCCAACACCTTCTTTAGCCTCACCACAGGACCTTCCTCCTGATGTCTGTTAATGCTTATACTCTTCAGTCCTCCAGCAGCACATCCTCTCACTCCCAGCTCCTTACACCCACACCTCACTAACTGGAGTGAAAGTCTTTTTATACCAGGTGACCTGATTAGCCAGTCTGTCCTAATTGATTCTAGCAGCTTCTTCTTAATTGGCTCCAGGTGTCCTAATTAGCCTGCCTGCCTGAATTGGTTCCAGCAAGCTCCTGCTTGTTCTGGAACTGCCCCTGTTACCTTACCCAGGGGAAAAGGGATCTACTTAATCTGGGACTAATATATCTGCCTTCTACCACTCTTCTGTAGCCATCTGGCCTGACCCTGTCACATATTCCCCCACACACACACACACACTCAACACTACAGGGTTGGGCAACTTGGGACTTCAGGCAGTGTACCCACGACAAGCCATCTGCATTGCCATGGTGGCTTCCGGCCCGGTGTTGTATGGTGAATTGGAAAGGTTGTAGGGACAGGAACCATCTGGTCACTCTTGCATTCTTCTCTTTATTTCGCTGCATCCACTGAAGGGGTGCGTGGTCGGGCACAAGGGTAAACTGTCGTCCCAGTAGGTAATACCGAAGTGTTTCCATGGCCCATTTTACAGCAAGGCATTCTCTTTCAACCACTGCATACTTCTGCTCTCTCGGGAGGAGTTTCCTGCTGAGGTAGAGAATCGGGTGTTCTTCGCCTCCAACCATCTGCGAGAGGACAGCTCCCAATCCTACTTCAGATGCA